GGCCTGCACATGTTTTTATAGCGCCACCTGGATTTTCAGATGCAGCGCTAGGTTACAATTATATTGGCCCGCCTAAAGTTTTCTTCTTTTCCTTTGGCCCGCTCTTTAAAAAGTTTGCCCATCACTGCATTAGAACATTTAAAGTTAGTATCGCCTAGTAGTCATCCAAATTCTACTTTTTCCATTAGTATCAGTCCATTTAGTGATAAGTTGGAATTTCTTAATTAGAGTGGCATCAATATTTGCTTTTTCACATAACTTAATTTTTTTCACTTGTCCCTTGCCATCTTGAAAACTTTTCAAAATTTTCTGTTTTTTTATTATTGTGCACACTGTAGAAATTACTAAACCAAAGTCTCTGCATACATCTGCCTTTTTTCTTCTACTTTCAACTGCTTTAATTATTTCTACTTTGCAGTCTAATGTTAACGCTTTCCTTTTTAACCTAGCCATTTCACCTGATTTGTTGCTAAACTATTGTACAACATGAGAGTAAAGTTACAATTTATAACAGCTTCACAATTAACAACCATTCAGTATACCAATAACAAATTAGAACTCAGTCAGCAAGACGGATCCAACTCAAATTTCCCGCTTCCACATCAACCTTATATAGTCATCGACAGCTGTTGGCCAATCAATCAGCAGCTATGCTAGTCATAGCTCTATTCCAGGTCTGCCACATGGCATGATATTTCGCCAACCATCTCTTCCTTGAGACGCATGTGTCACCAATTCAAATTTAGCCAATCGTGATCTTCTGCTATCTTTCCTCAGTAATACCCGTTACCAGTTCAAATTGGCCAATCATGTCATTATACAATATCACCATAACAACGAGTAACTATGAAAACTAACCTGATCATCACGTTCTTTAAAGATGTGATGAACCTCACCCCACCAAAGTCAGATGGTGAGAGTACCACCCACAGTCGTTCTAGGAAGTGGACTCTGACACTAGAAACTAAACACGTAGTACATGTACTGTATTTTCTTTATTAAATAAAATTTGTAATCTAATTTTGTAAATCTGGGAGTGCTTTAAATATGATGTTAAAACAGGGTTTTATGTCGTTACAAGTGGGTTTTTTTTAACATTATCTAGTATAGTAAAATCATGATAAAAATAGATAAAAATTTGACATTATATTAGGGTTGTCATTACACCCGATGACGTTATAATTGGATTAAACTATACTTTGTTTTGCTATTGAAGCATATATGTTGCATTGTATTCTGAGTATTCCTTAGCAACTTAATGTGCTTTTTATCTATGGATAACACCTCCAGCTTTGTACTTGACCTTCAATACCCTTTAAAACCAACTGCACTTCTACCTGTTGGCAATTTGGCAAGTCCCATGTATGACATTTTACAAGCAATTCTATTACTTTCTTTGCAGCTTTGATCCATCTCTGTTGCTCATGAACAGGCAACTTATCTAAATCATGCCATGTTTCTGTTTCAGGAATTGGTGCAGTTTGAACAATTTATGATAAGTGTTTTGTGGAATATCTTTATTTTTCCTGGAAGATACTCAAATTGGAGTCCAATATATTGTCAGTAGTTGCAGCCAAAGTTCTTTTATCTTGGCTTTTCTTTTCTTCATTTATATCCTGTATCTTCAATTGCTCTTTCAAATCTGTATTTGTATAGCTTTCTTCAATAATAAGTCCTCAAGTCAAACTATTTCTGGAACAATTTCCATCTTCATTGTCAGAGAATTTTAATTTATAATGATACTCCTGCTCATTGACTTTCTTAGTTTCTGAAAACAAAATTCTGTAACCTTTCTATGTTTTGCTATATCAGCTTAAAATTCTTTTCTTGACATGAGCATCCCACTTTGTGTGTCTTTCTTTTGGAATGTGTGCATAGGCCTTAATTCCAAATGCTCTTAAATATTGCAGATTTAGCTTCTTTCACAGTTTATGGTGTTTTGCCAATGGTTCTACTAGGAAGACAATTTTGAATGTAGCACACTGTTGATATCACTTCTCCCCAATAAGTTTTAGGAAATTCAGCCATCATTGCAGTTTGAAGTTTTTATATTGTATTTTAGTATGTATGTTTTGAGACTTGCTAATTTTGATATCATTAATCAACTAATAACATTATCCATGATTACAATAGACAACTCTATTGTACTTACTTATCTGTGTCTTCAGAGTGCAAATATTTTAGGGTTTATTGGATAAATTGCAGATACAAGTTCTAGACCTTGACAGTTTAAAACTCATTAAAGTCACATATAACAAATTATCACATTGCAAGAATGACTTTTTATCTATAGATCTTGGTTTAGATGACAATTACAAACCAGTTTTTATA